CCCGACAAAGTCAGTCTCGGTGTCGGTGTCTACCGCACTGACGATGGCAAGCCCTGGCCATTGCCCTCTGTCCGCAAGGCCGAGCAGCAATTGCTCGCCGAAGACAGCCCCTTCCGCCACGAATACACCGCGATTGAAGGCGACATCCCGTTCCTCGAGCTGGCTCGGGACCTGATGTTCGGCTTCGACTCCAAGAACCTTTGCGAGGAGCACAAGGCCCTGAAAGCCCGCATTGGCTCCGTCCAGTCCGTCGCCGGCACTGGCGCCAACCACCTGGGTGCTCTCTTCCTCGCTCACAAGATGAAGCCCAAGACTGTCTGGCTCTCCGACCCCTCCTGGGCCAACCACGTCACCATCTGGGACCTCGTCGGCGTCCCCCGCAAGACCTACCCTTACTACAAGCCCGAGACCCGCTCCTTCGACTTCGAGGGCATGATGTCCACCCTTGAATCCGACGCCCAAGAAGGCGATGTCATCCTTCTGCACGCCTGCGCGCACAACCCCACCGGTCTCGACCCCTCCAAGGAGCAATGGAAGGCCATTGCCCAGATCTGTGAGCGCAAGAAGATCTTCCCCTTCTTCGACTCCGCCTACCAGGGTTTCGCCTCCGGATCCGCCGACGAGGACGCCTGGGCCGTACGCTACTTCCTCAACGAGAAGCCCCATATGGAGATGTGCGTTGCGCAGTCCTTCTCCAAGAACTTCGGTCTCTACGGCCAGCGTGTCGGCGCTTTCCACTACGTCGTCGCAGAGGGTTCCCAAAACCTGCGCGATCTCGTCGTCAACAACCTCTGCCACTTCATCCGCGGCGAGTTCTCCATGGGTCCTACTGGCGGTTGCTCCATCGTCAAGAAGGTCTTGACCAACGATGCCCTCACCACGCAATGGCACGATGACCTCAAGGTCATGAGCTCCCGTATCAAGGCCATGCGCGCTGCTCTGTACGATGAGCTCGTCCGTCTCGAGACCCCCGGGACCTGGAAGCACATCGTTGAACAGGTACATACCAAATTCCTCCTTCAGCTTTTCCCCAGTCCCACAAACATGTATATACTAACCATGATTCCCCTTACAGAACGGCATGTTCTCCTACACCGGCCTCACCCCTACCCAGGTCCAAGCCCTGAAGGAGAAATACCACGTCTACCTCATCAAATCCGGCAGAGCTTCCATCAGCGGCTGTAAGCTTTCTCCCTTCACCCCACCCCCAAATCTTAATACCCACACGCACACCCACTAACCCTCTCTCTCCCCTCTCAACAGTGAGCCAGAAGAACGTCGCCTACGTCGCGAAGGCTTTCGACGACATTGTCCGCAACGTCAAATAAACCCATCAACCATAAAACCAGTTGTTCGGGTAATTGATTCATCTCTGCCCGAGGTACATACACTTTTCATAAGTGCTTCAAACAGAAAGAAGAAGGGGTAAAAAAAAAAAATTTTCCTTTACAGCAGATAGACTTACCTCACCTCACCTATTTACGAGGTTAACGTACGCCATGAATGATGGGATAACGTACTATATGCGAATGAGAGGATGACGACGATGTACAGATATTACATTTCGGGGCATTTTATTTTTCGGGGTTATTTTATTGCATGCATCTAGCTAGCATCTAGACTTTATGCGATGATAGAGCTAGAATTGATTGGGAGTTAATGATACTTGTGCATGGTGCTACCTATTTGTCCTGTATATGCTGTACAAAATACTACTTAATTCTATTATGATAACTGCCTTGATAGGGGATAGTGTGGGAAGGACAGCATACATGTTGTAGAGGCATAGGCCTTAATGAAGATACAATATAAAATATAGTATAATAATATAAGAAAGAAACGTAACATACACCGGCCCTGTGACATCATCTTTCCGCCCGTGTTGAAGAAAGGAATATAACAAAATGAACTCGTGCGATAAAGGGTCGTGGTAGGGGTGGGGGAAGAGGGCTAATGTATCGGATATACACTCATGACGCTAGTCAACTTGAATCGTAGATGAAGAAATGAAAAGAGGAAGAGGGGGAGGAGCAGGAGCGGTCGTCTACTACCGGGGGCACAGTCATTACAGAGGGACTTCATTAAAGTCCCCTTCTCCTCCCTCCTTTGATTTGCGCTCTTTGGCATTTGATGAGTCGTCCTTCTCTTTCTCTTCCTCTTCTGGCTCTTGCGTGTCCTCTTCGGTCTTCTCTTCCTCGTCCTTACCCTCACCCTCGCTCTCGCTCTCGTCCTTCTCTGGCGGAGGTGGCGATGCTTCATGATCGCCATTCTGCTCGGCAGTTTCATCCTCCTTCTCTTCATCCTTCGGAGGTGGAGGGGGCGGCGACTCTGTGCTCTCGTCCGATCCCACCTCCTTCTCTTCCGCGATGGGCTGGCCGGTCATCTCAGCTCCCGGGAACGGCGTAACCGGGGGCTCAAGGTTCTGCTCATCTTCCTGCCCCGTCTGCCGTGAAGGGGTCTGAGCCTGCGCAGCTGGGGGCGCCAGATTCGAGGTGGCGGTAGAAACCGTTCGTTGGTGCTGAGTAGAGCTGTGAATCGGGCCCAGCTGTCTTGCCTTGGGATCAGCATTCAGGTAATACCCACGAACACTGACAATAGTGCCCTCAGCCTCGCAAGCATCCACCCATTCCGGAACAACCACGGGGATGTTCATCTCAACGGCCTTCTCCCAGAGCGGACCCCTCCCCTCGGTACAGACAAAGTGGGTGGTATCAATGCGGACCGAGTCGATCAGCTTTCCACCGATGCGATCCAACGCAGCTGCAAGAGCATCCTTCTGTTGTGGGGGAAGGACGCCCGCCGTCACTGTGATACCGGAGAGATCTGTCATCTTGTGCGTGCGGCAGGTCAACTTCTCCGACTGGTAAGTGCCGGCGGTAGTGCGCAGGACGAGGTGGAAGGTGTATTCGGTGTGAATGGCTAGACCGCTAATCTTGGTGCTTCGCGTCTCAAGCGGACGGGGAATGGACCCGGCTTTGGAGCCATTGCGATACAGGGAGAGTGACTTCAGGGATGCGGTGGCTAGGTCAATAGGGTCCCATTCCAGGACGAGGGAAGTTTGGGTTGCGTTGCGGAGACGGAGAACCGGGGGTGTGGGGGTCTTGATGCCATAGGTATTGAGGATACGTTTTTGGAGCGACTGGAAGTTTGCGGCACTGGCGGATTCGGCTGCGTGGTTGCGCGCGACGGTGATGTCGACGATACTACCGGACGTGATGTTGCTGGGGAGAAGGACGGAGGGGAATTCGATCTGGGGGCGGGTTAGTTGAGTGTCAGGGCTACTCGAAGCGCAGGGTGGATTATTTGGAGGAGATATTGAGCAGGCTCGTGCGTCAATCGCTCGCTGTAAGTGCGTGGGTATGGAATTAAACTCACCAGTCTATTGTCCTGGGTCAAGAGTACGGCGACTCCTGCGTCTACCTTGCCGACTGTCAAGGAGACCAGCATATTGGGAACAGGTAGCGGATATCAGGGATGGCGCATCAAAGAGAAAACAAATTCGTGACGTCTGGCAACGTCGATTCGTGATCAGGTGGCCTGGGATCCTGAAAGGGAAGGAAGAGTTGATCGCAGGAGGAAAGTGAGGTTGTTGTTGTCTTCTTCAGGCTGAATGAAGATCGGCCGGTAGCGACAGGCGCCAAGGAGGCTCGGCCGCGTGGTCTCTGGCCCGCGATAACTACATGGATGCTTCTTCATTCCATCCAAAGAACTATCCCGTGAATAATGGGATATGGGAATTTAACAAATTTCCATTCTCCCCTCTCGTTCATCTTATCTTTGTTGAGAAAATTATGCATGAATGACAGGAAATCGCTGCATGTCTTGCGTGGCACATCGCAAGGGGGCTAAGTATATTTCCCCGTCTACTCATCCACTGATGTTGTACATATATACAATGACGGACCCGAACCGGTGTCCAGAACTAACCTACAGTAGTAGTATGAAGAAGAAGTCGGCCAAGGCTATAACGATGTCTCATTCCCTTTATCGTCACGAGCATCCACTGCCTTCTTTTGCTTTTTGGCCGGCTTAGGAGCTGCATCTTTCGTCGTCTTCAAATGATTTACCAAAGCACTCACTCCAGCATCCATCTCCTTTCGCAATACCTCGAAAGGCTCCCGCAAAATATCCGCATGAAGCAATAGGTCAACACGCCCCTTCAGATTCTTTCCATTCCCCCCTTTCCCATTAGAGTCACCTAGCAGTTCCTGCCCTGCTTTTCGACCGTCCGCATCAAACCCATGGTCTTTCAACGCTAGCCGGAATGCCATCCGGGCTCGTCGGCTACACCACGACCGAACCACACGCTTCATCCTCACGGACATCAGATGCGATGGATTTACCATCCACCAGAGTGTGCTTTTGTCGCGGGTGGCATACATGTGTGTGATTTTAGGCTGGAGAGGGTGGACATCTGCGTTTAAGTACCGGGAGGCGACATGGGACGGTTTGTAGTTCGGAAAGTATCGCATTATGAACGATTTGTGACTCCTTAGTGTCTTCATGATGGATGTGGGTTGCAGGCCTCGGAGGCAAGTCAATTGACTCCGTATATAGTACAATAATGATAGAATAGATGGTAGGACGCTAGCTGGATGCTTGGTATATTAGCACTAAGTAGTATGATGCGCCTATCGCCGGATCGGAACAGAAAAAGGCCAACCCTTCCAGCAGCGAGCGATATGTATCTATCTCAACATATTGTAAGCAACGGAACTGATAAACAATTCACAAGAAGTGGAATACGAACCAAGAATGAGCGCATTCAATTCTCTAGCGAGCCAAAAAGTTATCCCAGCATTCGGGGATGCTTCGGCGGTCCCCTGATTCTGCCACCGGGCGGTGGCTTCATGACGACAATGATTGGCAGACCCCTTGTGGCAAGCCTCAGGCGCAAATCAGGCCGCCACGCCACCCACTCACCATGGATGACATAAGCCAACGAAAAGCCTCGCAAAACATGAAGCGCCGGCCTCTCGCTTGCCTCCGCCTTCCTCGTCTTTCCCCCCACTTCCACTTTTCTGGTCCTCAGGGACATCTATTTAAATCTCCCCTTACCCGGACATCTCCTATCGCATCGAGTGAAAGACCACCGCGGTTAGCGAGATCCCAATATGCCCAAGAACAAGGGAAAGGTGAGTTCGTGCTGCATCCCACCCGGGTACCCCGCCTTACAGATTTTCGCTTTGTTTTACGCTTGACTCTGGTGCCCACCTCATGCCACCATATCCCACCTCAACGACACATTTCCAGCCAGGAAGATGTGAGATATGGAAGGCATAGAGGCTGCCATATTCAGAGAGCATCGGAGAACGAAGCGAAACTGCGCCACACGTCTATACACATGTCTAGGACTGTTTTTGCTAACGTATCTGCAACCAAACAGGGCGGTAAGAACCGTCGTCGTGGAAAGAACGAGAACGACAACGAGAAGCGTGAGCTCGTCTTCAAGGAAGAAGGTCAGGAGTATGCGCAGGTCGTGAAGATGCTTGGTAACGGCCGTCTCGAGGCACTCTGCTTCGATGGCGAGAAGCGTCTCGCTCACATCCGTGGCAAGCTCCGCAAGAAGGTCTGGATCAACCAGGGTGACATTATCCTTCTCTCGCTGCGTGACTACCAAGACGAAAAGGGCGACGTCATCATGAAGTACACCGCCGATGAGGCCAGAAGTCTCAAGGCCTACGGCGAGTTGCCCGAACACGCCAAGATCAACGAGACCGACACCTACGGCCACGAGGGCTTCGAGGACAATGTCGAGTTCGACGAGGACCGCGAGAGCGAAGACGAGAAGGAGATCGATGTCGACGAGCTCTAAATGTCCCTTTCAGGGGCACGATCTCATATCCCTGCCGGAGCGACTGGGTTCGGTTCTGTTTTTCCTCGACTCGTCAAAACTCTTGTTTTCTTCAAAAAAAAACCTTCATGGGAAGAATCTCCCCCGAGTATTCTTCTGAAAAAAGCTGTTACTTGCTTTGAAAGGAAAGAAATCGGACGGCTTGTGCATCCTGTCTGTGTATGTGCTAGTCGAGACTTTCCCGTGAAGGTATCTCGAGTAAAGGAATCAGGGCGGCAGCACCTTCCGGCTCCGCATAGGCGCGTTCTGCCTTTGCTGCGCCCGGTGCGGCTCCGTGTAATTCGGGGTATGGATCAGTAACAGGGGTTATGCCGGGGAATGTTCTTTATGATGCGGGATCATCGGTTTTCTGGACATATTCGTGTTCCATCATGAGGGCGTTCTTGGGTTAGCTACAGAAGGATGGCTTACTGCGTACGAGAAGGCTGCACGGTCTGGCGTGTGAGCGATTCTTGTGTTTGCTCCCTGTTCTTTTATTCGTTATTCCTTTTCATTACGCTTCTTCGTTTTCGACAAAACTGGATGATAGATTTATGAAAGGGTCACGAATATGAATATACAACCAATCTATACTCCTTTGTAGAATTGAGTAGCTTCGTATCTCTAGCTTCTCGTAGTATTCAACAATATCGAACATATATACAACCATCATCTCAACTCTCAAACACACTTTTACGAAAGAACCCCACTATCTTCCGAGCCGTTTCTATCCCAACCAACGGATCCAACTGCTCCACGCTCATATTCGCAATCTCATGAATATTCTCCGTCTCCACAATCAACCGCTCAAGGACATTAGGATTAACACCCGGAACCGCCCGAAGCATATCCTGGGGCAAGAGGTTAAAGACCCGATGCTCGATCCCCGCCGCAGCCATAATATCGCCGGAGTGCGATGACGCCGCAATATCCATGTCTAGCCCAGTCTGAACAGCCCGAATCGGATCCGGCTCCGGATTGTTCTTCTTCAGCTCGGCGAAGATCTCTGCGGTTTGGTAGGGGGAAGAGGACCAGATGATCTTGAGCCGGGGGAAGGTGAGAGTTAGGAGAACGAGTAAGTGCTGGGCGGATTTGGGGCTAGATGGGTTGACGAGGGAGCTGTTTGCGGATAGGGTGCTTGTGCCGGAGGAAGAGAAACCGAAGTCGGTGAGGAAGGTTGTGCCGGGGGTGGTTGCGGAGGCGAAGGCGTCGAAGGTGAAGGATTTGTTTTCATCGAATTCGATAAGAAGAAGAGGGTTCTTGTAGTGTTGGAGCATGGTTTCTGCTTGGTTGTAGAGACGGCCGTTTCGTAAGGAGGATATCAGGTCGCGGACTGATTTGCGTTCTACGCAGATGTCGGGCGTGAGGATGTAGTCGCCCACTGTGAGTTGGCATGGGACGACAATCATGTTGTTGCCATGTAGGAGGGATGGAAGGGCGCTTCTGAACTCGCGTACATCTATCACGACTCGTGGTGGTGATGCTGTTGCGGCTAGTCGGCCGCCTCCTGCAATACGGGTGTTCACGGTGCGAAGGAACTGTTCCTGAGGATCTACTTGACTCTTGTCATGTGTGATGGTGACGGCCATGTTCTGTTGGCTCGGGTTAGTGGAAGGAGGGAAGCACAGGGAAGGAGTCTTACGCTTTTCTCTTTGATGAGCTTTGTGAACGAGTCTTTCTCTCGCCGTACGGCGCTCAAGTAGCGCTGTTCTTCAACAGATCCCCCGTAGTAGATGAAATAAACGCGTACGTCCCTCCCAACATGGGAGCTGCGGTAGACCTCGACTCGTCGAATGAATGCAGGGTCTGGCTCGTACATGATGATGTACCGAGGCCGAACCTCCTCCAGAATATGCTCATCCATATCACCGTCGTAAGGGTGTATGATAACCAAGTCATCCATATCGTACAATTCGTAGTAATCGTCCATATCTTCCAAATCATCGATGATAACCTCCTCTTTTTGGGTCTCTTCGACCTCAGTAGGCTGGATTTCATCTAGAAGTGCCGACACCTGGGCCGGAGGTTCAATATCTACTTGGATACCGCTGTTGGGCGCGCGTGCTGGGACGGATGGAGTGCCTCCTCCTCGGACTCGGCGCCGCTTGTTCATTGGGGCTCTTCCTTGATTCAGAGAGCCAGGTGAATTCACCGCAGGCGACTGGGAACCGTCACCCGCGGGGTTTGACGAAAAGTTCTTGCTAACATTAGACAAGGATAACTTCCAGTCCATATAATCCCGCAGCCTTCGGCGCATCATCACTTCAGCGGAGCCCTTTTTCTCGTGGATGGCATCACCTGGATCCAATGTATCCCTTGTCTCCTGCTTCTTGCTACTCACGTTGGCATGCATCGTGCCCATGTACTCGCGAAGTTGCCGACAGGTCCGTTGGTCACTGCACATGATCAAAACAGTACTGTTGGACTCGTCCACCTTGACTGGATTGAGATATGCGTCCGTTTCAATTTCTTGCAGGACCTCCGCTACGACTTCCCATTTTGGCTGTTCTTCCAGAACGGGCTGGAGTGTGGTAGGTAAAGACGTGGATGATGAGCGAACTACATCGTTGCTGATTCGCCCCTGATATACTCTTGATCTCGCGGTCTGGAAAAGCACATCGGCTGCGTCGAGGAACAGCCATGGTGAATAGCTATGTTTCGTGGACCCAGGAGGTGGAGTATGTGCTGTGACAATCGTATCAAGATATTTGAGGAACGAGACGGCGTCATAGGTGAGCAAAGCACTAAGATTCAGGTCAATTCATGAAGCATAGCATACATATGGGTGGTCGCACTGGAGAATTGCCCGAAGGTCTGATAAGTCACTGACGATCTGTCTGGTCCGGAAGCTCACACGGTGCCATATGGGATCCAGTTGCCGTCTAATTGCAATATCGAAAGACCTGTGTAAAGCACTGTCGAGGGTCCAGTCTGCCATGTCAAGTCCAGTGTTCGCTTTCTTTAGCTCTCCTATGCAAATCTCCACGCACTCAAGGACGGCGTTTTGTATTTCGCGCATCTTATCACTCATGGGAACTTCTAGTTCGATCACCTCCGCTTTTCTATGGCCCTCGAGAGCCTCCGCCACGGTGACATGGAAGCGTGGCCATAACGAGGTCTTGCGAAGGAAGAGGTTGCGCAGGGAATTCGCCAAAGGGGCAAATCCGGTCGTGAATGGTTCCGGGGAGTCGGAGAAGGCCTTTAAGAATCCACGTTTGTTGTGCTCTCGATATGCCCGGATAATGAAGGCTTCAATAGACGTTGCCACAATCCTGGCTGTTCTTAGTATGTCATCCTTAGAAGCACAGATATGGTTGCTTACTTATCAGCATGAAGCACGACCATGCCAGTGACCTTCTCAGGGTCAAGCAGCTCTAGACAGCGGGTTAGGAGGGTCAACCGTCGCAAAACAGCAGTAGGGCCATCACTAACTGGACAGAAAGTCAACTATTAGTATCCTGGATGTTACACTCAGGATACCACCTTCGGAATAAATCTTCTCGCTGGACTGGCATTAGCATAGAAGGTCATGAATGATGCATGAGGACATACCGCATCGGAACCGTGGCCCTGTCCGTATTGATCACCTTGAGCCCCCTGGCAAGAGGGGTTTTGCTGATAGCATAGTGCTCAGCCAATGCTGACAGAGATCAGCATCATTATGCTTCAACATAACCCACCAGTAAACTGTCCGAGTCGCAGCAACGTACCTTCTCCAATCCATTCATTTTCGCGGTCATCTGCGCCAACAACAAGCACCAAATTGTTCCCTGCAGCATCATAAAAATGTAGCAAATTCGTCACCAGGCGTAAGAGGCCAAGGCCCCGAGCAAGAATCACCAACTCATCCTCCGAGCGCAATTCGGTGAAGATGTCCTGCTGGTATTGCTGGAATTGATTCTGTCAGCAATCCCATAGATGTCTCGCAATGAGCACACAATGTAGAACCGTAAAGTACTCACCAAGGGCAAGGACAGCTTCACCGGTACATTGGGGCGTTCAGGTGGCATGAGGAGCCTCTTGACGCGAAGAAGTCATCTTCCTTCGCGATGAGAGCGACCAAAGCGAGCGCGTGATCACGTGGGGTATGATGTAATGACGCTTTACTGGAGCACCAGCAGCAACCACTACTGCGTGGAACATTTTACGAATAGAACAGACTATATTTATATATAATTTCACGGTAAGTGTGGTCAGCACTGAATGGTGTGTTGAAGTTGTGGCTTTCCACGTCCATGTGTGGTAATAATCGTACAAGCTTAGAGAAATATTTATCTTCGGGCGAGGAGGACTACTATGAAGACCGGAGTACAAGTATACTGACTTCATTAACATAGCATTGCTTCATAAAGGTACAGCGACCTTACACCACCACTGGCTTGTAAAATCTGTTGTCCTACTTATTCAGTTCCTTCATACGTGCCTCGATCTCTTCCCTGGGGACTTTGGGTGGCATGCCTATATACTAATTTAGTAAACCGCCATAATGTGGAGGGATTGTGTGGGGATAAAAGCACAACGCTGACTTACTGTCGGGGATTTGAGGACCCTTAGACAAGTGATCAAGCATGGTGGCTTTCTGAGTTCCCTGATCGGAGTTCCTCTGCTCTTGATTTGAAGCGCTGTTGTCGCTGTTGCCTTGTTGGGGTGGGAAATCAGAACCCGAGGGGATGACAGGCATAGTGATGAGTAATTTGTCAATAGTCGTAGTGTGGTGAGTATGGGAGGAAGAGAACAGTAAAATTATGCTTCTGATAAGAAGAGTGCAGGCGAGTGGTAGCAGCGAGGATAGTTGATCGGGGAAGGTAAGCTTTCTATATTCTTAAGTAGTTCTTTTTAGTTGCAGCACATGCGATGACGTCGGTTGGGCTGGAAGTACCACCATAGTTAGTACTAGTTATAGTACTAGTAGTAAGAAGCGCGCCATTGAGGCAATGCAGTCATTTCTTCATTCACATGGTTGGTGGTGATCCGGTAAGATCAACTAATAAGATGCTGTCAAAGGCGATTCCCTTGGATCTTGCATGTCTGCCTAATCCAGGAATGCCATCATGGTTATTATATGGGTCGCAGGCAGACACCCTTGTTGGTCGTTGGATGATGATGCTGCACGAGACCATTGTGGATTGAGAGAATGTAAGGCTTTCTGCTTAAAAAAGTACAATGCTCGAGTCAATCCATTTCGCATGTCTTATTGCTTCATATTAATACCAACACTTGAACAATCATCTCTAAGTGGAGGACTGTCAGAGTGTATGTGCTGAGTGAGCGCCAGCTGCTTCCAGAGACGTCGGGATCCCCACCGCGGCGTTAGTGGACTTTAGTGGCTCTCCGTCGCTCTCTCCCGCCAACGCTCCTCTTCCGGCTACTTGACCTCTTCTCCCTCCTCCCCTCCCCAAAGCCAGACTTGCTCGGCCACCAATCCTACAATCTTACGGCCTTTCTGTTCTAGATAGAGCCTTACTAGTATTCATTCCTTTCTTTCGCGTCCTTAGGGCTGCCCTCCAGTCACCCTTCTACCCCACAAATCCTGGGAATTCCGAACTACCCCCCCTTTGTCTCAGACACATCCGTTGTTGCCGCGCCGTATCAGCTCTTATCCGTGCCTGAGGAGCAACCACCCTCTGGTACTTCGGGCTCACCAAGTTACACCAGACACCCTGCAATGCGCCTCCAGCAGGCGATCTAATCACGTCTACCTCACCGGTCATAAACCCCAAGCTACTAACACAGTGTCTTCGCGAGTCGATCCATCGTCATGCCTTCAATCCTGAATGATAACGACAAGGAAACAGTCAGGAGAACTGTACCAAAGCCTGACAACAAAATTCTAGCGGTGGCCGTTGCGCGCCTCTACGTGGCTCACCCAGACACCCAGAGATGGACGTACACCGGTCTGCAGGGAGCTGCAGTCCTAGCAAATGACCTGGTCGGCCGTACTTTTTGGCTGAAATTGGTGGACGTATCGGTGAGTACAGCCTGGTAAATCATGCACTGTGGCAGTTACTGACAAAAGACATCGTGCCGTGCCTTAGCCTGCCAATAGGGGAGTCATTTGGGACCAAGAGATCTACGACAACTTCGCGTACAACCAAGATCGCACGTTCTTCCACTCCTTCGAACTAGAAGACTGTCCCGCCGGACTGTCGTTCGCTGACGAGAAAGAGGCCAAGACATTCATTAAGAAAGTACAGGAACGAGAAAAGCATGCGAGCAAAGAGACACGGCAGACGCCCTTTGCATCTACCCGAGGCCAGGGCCCTGCTCCGGTGGTGAACGGCAAATCCGGGGTTGGACGGTCGCTGTTTGGCAGCTTACTCGGCCATCGCTCATCATCAGGATCTCATGTACCCCCACCGGTGACACCTGCGGAACTGCCTCCTGCTCCATCAATCCAAGTTGCTCCTCCACCTCCACCTTCAGCCAGCCCATCACGCAAGGAACTGCCGTTCGACACCAATGACCCCGCATTCAAGGGCGTACTGGACGAGCTCCTACAAATGGGCATTACGGAAGACTTGATCGCGGAGAACTTCGATTTCATCAAGTCCTATATCGAACAGAAACAGGCATCAACGCCCAGCCCGCCTTCTGCCGATGATCAAAGGAAAGGCAAAGCGCCGCCTCCACCTCCCCCGTCTGCGCCGCCTGCTCCCAAGGTGGCGGCCATCAGCCCACAGAACACTGGCAACAGCACAGGGAGTCGACGAGGTGCTCCGCCGCCCCCTCCCCCGACGCGGAGGACTCGAATGGATACGACGGATGACGAGCCTGCCTCGAAACGTGAACCGTCTCCTCCCAGGAATCGGTTTCGTGCGCCGCCTCCGATTGCAGATGCTGGTAAATTTGCTCACACACCATTGCCGCCTACTCGCCAACGGGCCTCGTCAAATGCTACACCCGGTCCTCCACCTCCTCCACGGCCTCCAAAGACTCCAATGGACGAGAACCAGTCCCGCTTTGGCGTTCCCCCACCGTTCCAGGGCGAGCGCAAGGTGTCTGCCCCTCCCGCACCTCCCAGTCGGCCAGGGCCTTCAGGGCCACCCCCTCCCCCTCCACGCACTATGAGCCCTGCAGCACCTCCACAGCTACCTCCCAAAGTTCCCAATGCCTCTGCAGCAGGGCCTCCACCTCCGCCACCCAGAAGTCCTTTGCAGCCGCCGCCCCCACCCGTGCCTTCCGCTTCCCGGCCTATTCCTCCCCCGCCTACATCAAGCGTGCCTCCTCCTCCACCCCCGCCTCCTACGTCGAGTGTTCCCCCTCCGCCTCGTCCCCCGCCCGTTTCAAGTGCTCCTCCCCCGCCTCCACCCCCGCCATCGCATCCTTCGCCTAGCGCCGGTCCTCCTGCGCCGCCTCCGCCCCCACCGCCACCGACCAGCTCGGTCCCACCTCCACCCCCTCCGCCTCCGCCAGCACCAGGAAGTTCAGTCCCACCACCACCTCCTCCTCCACCGCCAGGAGCTGGTGCTCCTCCTCCGCCGCCCCCGCCTCCTGGAGCTGGTGCGCCTCCGCCGCCGCCTCCTCCAGGTGGAGCTGCTCCGCCCTTACCCAAACCTGAAGGTGGTAGGAATGACCTCATGGCTGCTATCCGGGCATCTGGAGGAAAGGGCGGCGGTGGCCTGCGGAAGGTCAAGGAGAATGAGAAGCGTGACCGGAGTGGAGCCGCCGTGCCTGGCTCAGCCAGCGAATCGTCCGCGCCCACTCCTAGTGGTGGTGCTGCTCAAGGAGGCCTGGCAGGTGCTTTGCAAGACGCTCTGGCGAAAAGAAAGCAGAAGGTCAGCGGTAGCGGTAAGTAGACACCCCCGAATGGTCAGTAATACGTGTACTAATGTGGACGATAGATGACGAAAAGGAGGACGATGACGATTGGTGAGCCTTGCTTGAAGGTACTCTCTCATTATTCCTAAAATCAATGTTGTTGTCGTGGATTAGACTTTTGGATTTTGTGTGATACCTCCGTCGTGCAGCCTCTATATCCTTTCCTGTTCTTAGCATATATTCCCTTCCGGTGCGTGGAGGTGAATGTCTGGTTTTTCTTTCTAGTCAGCATCTCCTGCAGGTGATCAAAAGTATGCACTGGAGATTGGAGCTGTCTGACAGCGGGTCCATTCCCTAGTCTCCATGAATGGAAACACAATGCTTGTGTATTTGGGAACTAAGACCGCAGACGCTAGTAGGTCATTTATTACAAGATGAGTACTCTCATTGATATGGACATCCCCTAGCGTAGCTCGTCCAATCGACAGTAAATAATAAGAGGCGATCAACATCCTAGTATTGACTGCACTCATTCTCATGGCTCTAGACTTGACCACTTGGTCTGGTACCTTGCTAATGCAATGCCTGGTGGGGCATCCCTGCGGCTCAAAGAAAGTAACCAATGGTTCGGGCTTTTGGCATTTCCGATCTGGTGCCAAAGTGGGGCCTTCCGGAAAAGACCAAGCTCAATTAAGTAAGCTTCATGTGACAATTATCGAAATGGTGACTTTGTAGATTCGGCACGTAGTCCACCGCCGTCGTGTATCTTATAGCAAGTGGATCAGGGAACATATGCTTCAGTTAACGAGGGAAAGATTACATCTTCGTAGCGAGACTGGCTGTGAAACCGTGAGGAGGAAACAGTAACTTCGTGTTCAGTAGTCATGCCCTGTGTAAATCCACTCAAATGAGTCCCGCAAAGAAAAGGGTCTTTAACCAGTCATTGATATTTGCAACTAGAAATCCCAAGCCTTTCTGAGAGTTTTACGAGAAGAGCTTTGTCATATCTGATATGAGCTCTGCCGATCATTCTTGTGAGGATGTATACGGCTTCACCATCCTATAGACAAAGATTATCTGTTGGACTTGAAGCTGTGCGTAACACAGTTATGTATTGCTGGCCAAGTAGTATACTCAAAGCCAGACGACAGTAATTATCATATAATGGTCCAAGATATCAAGATATAATAATGGAACAGTCATTGGAAAAGCGAGGGAATATACTGTCGAGTCCGGGCCATCCAGCGCTGCCGGATTATAGTTGGTCCGAGCGGCGCAACTTGGATGCGGGAAAAAAGATGGGCGATGATATGGTTTGTTTTGCATCCAGATGAGTGCTGGTCGTCATTCTGGTCGGTGAAGCCATAGTACAAGGCAGAGATGCTGTCTCCGTCGTCTATGAAGCCTTCCGCTCCATCAGCATCTCTTCTCCGGTTTCTGCGATCACAATCCGATTCCTTTTTCTTCACAGCCAACCCAGCTACTTGCGGACGATCCCTCAATAATGATCCCCAGTCTCATCATCAGCACCACGCCTTCTCGCTAAGCAGGACGTCAGACTGGACAAGTATAAACCCTGCGCCATGCCGTGCGAGTCTAGAATCATGCCTCTTTCCGTTACCGGGGCTTTCGTCTAGAACTCGCGGTACTACTGTACGATGTCGGGCGTCGCTGGCTCAACGCTCTTCACCGAGTCCGTTTTCCCTCCCTAATGCGCAGTTTTCACGCGCTTCATCCACCAAGAGCAAGAGCCTTTGGCGTAGACTCTTCGACTTCAAGCGAAACAAAACCGCCGAATCCAAATCATATCTCCGCCAGCCACCTGCATTGATTAATGACGGAACAGAGGGAAGCTTTAATATTGGCCGCGGATTAGTGGCAAAGGCCTCCAATGAGCCGCGCCTGCGATGTACCGAGTTCGACAGCACTGGAAATGTTACTCTTGTAAATGGCGAATTCAAGAAGAGTGAGCTGATTGCCAAGGTCAGTATTGGCGGCTCTGCGAATCGTTTCATAACTCGAGAAGCGACACAAGACTGATTTCAAGCATAGTATGGTCTCCTACCTCGGGACTTGCGGAAGATCGACTCGTCTACTCTGCCTCATATCCTAGTGCGACCGCGTGCCATTCTTATCAACCTCCTACACCTTCGAGTCTTGATTAAGGCTGATCGCGTTCTCGTTTTCGATGCGTACGGATCCACGGACTCATACATGCAATCGCTATTTGTGTATGATCTCGAAGGAAAGCTACAACAGAAACAAGGGCAGACTACGGGTGCATTGCCTTACGAATTCCGAGCGCTGGAAGCGGTCTTGATCAGTGTCACAAGTGGCCTGGAGGAGGAATTTAATGGTGTTAGAGATCCGGTCGTGAGCGTGCTCAGAGCTCTGGAAGAGGACATTGACCGCGACAAGCTTCGACATCTGCTTATTTACTCCAAGAAGCTCGGCACGTTCGAACAAAAGGCTCGCCTCGTGCGTGATGCGATCGACGACCTGCTGGAGGCAGACGACGACTTGGCCGCAATGTATCTTACTGAGAACTCGCAGGGTGTCCGACGCGAGGAACACGAACATCAAGAAGTCGAGATGCTACTCGAGTCGTACCACAAAGTTTGCGACGAAATTGTGCAGGCCAGCGGCAACTTGGTGACCGGAATTCGTAATACCGAGGAAGTGTAAGTCATCCAGTTTGTCTCAAGTTACTTGTGTAATCGGATACTGACTTATTTACAGCGTCAAAGCCATTCTGGACGCCAATCGCAACTCCCTCATGCTTCTTGACCTCAAATTCAGCATTGGAACTCTCGGACTCGCAACCGGAACCCTGTTCTCCGCACTTTACGGCATGAACTTGAAGAACTTCATCGAAGAATCAGACTTGGGCTTTGGCGCCGTGTCCGTCACATGCTTTGCCATTACAATCGTTGTTTGTGCTTATGGGCTCGCCAAACTGCGCAAGCTTCAGCGTGTCCGCATGTGGGGCGAATCTGGCGTCGGCGGCGCATCCATGGTCTCTCTGCCTACCAGAGGTGGTGCACTAGCCAGCCACCGGCCAAATTGGCGCGCGGATACCGTTGAGCCTGTTTGGGGTAGTCTTCCCGGTGAAGGACGCGTGGAGAGGATCAAGCGTATTAAAGACAATGCAGCTGCAGCTGCAGCCCGATCTGCGACCCTGAAGGCTGCTAATGTGCCCCCAACAACGTCGTCTGGAGACGCTACCTAGCAGTCAGAAAGTTCTTAAATTCACATTTTTATACACCGAACAAACAGTGGGAGCTCACAGAGCATGGCCGCTGTCACAATTGACCCACCACTCTGCTCTACCCCGTCCAGTCCTGTCCTGACCATCATCCATGCTGTGGTTCTATGGAGCAGGGCAGAATTATCCTGGAAGTCGAGCACGAAATTTTATCCGCTAGAGCTTATAGAATTGCATGTCAGGAGTTCGGCTTGCAGATTGAAATTTTGATATTGTCTTATTTTTTGGGGACTATCTTTTTTTCCCAGCTAGTACTGTCCTTCGCTTCATGGGAGGGTCTGTATCTAGCTTGGTATACATACCACACTCAACTCACTCATGGGTTTCTTCATTTCATGGGAGCTAAATGTGCTCTGTAATGTGTCCATAGACGATAGATGTCGAATCAGACACCGACAAATGTTACATACATATGTACATTAACAACAATCAACAAAATTTATCATGTCCTTCCTCTTCCATGTACATACACAAAATCTCTATCTAATTTGCATTTCTCAGTAACAGTTTACGGGGTATCTCATCTCCAAATATATCCTCTCTCTACTTTTCACAACACAACAAGCATGTTCAATGCCCACCCTGCTTTCCCATCCCAGACCCCTTATTCAACCCCTTCGCCCTCTCAATCCAGATCTTCCCAGCGGCCTCAACGCCCCCCTCACGCGAACACTCCCGCCTTACAGCATCCATAACCCGCTCCAGGACCTCCTCTCCATTACTATCACCATCACCACCATCACCATCAGCAGCAGACCCACTCGCCCTCTCCTTCCAGACCTGCGTCGTCCGCCTCCTCCCCCCAATAACAGCCATATTCCTCGTACTCGGAATCCGCAACAGGGTCCGCTCAACCTCGTACCCGATTTCCTCCGCCACACTCATTGTCTTCGCGGTCAACGAGCCATACATGGACTTGAGGAACCCTGCTTCCGTAGTCTGAGCATCCTGTTTCTCCTTCCGGAGGGATTTGAGGTCTCCTGATGCTGGATTACCCTCTTCTTCCCCCCCTTTACCTTTATCGTCTGATTTATCCTTCTTGCCCGCCTTAGGAGGTGGATACCGAAACCTCGCACCAGAAAGTGAATGCGAGCAGCACGGGATAGCAATAAAGGGTGACGGCGACTCAGGGCAAAGAAGCGTAGCCATGAGGGGCGTCCAGACCGTGAGTTCATCTGCGTGGTTGGAGATAATGAATGTGTCTTTTGGAAAAGACCCCGTGTGGGATTTTATGGTCAATTCTTGGAGCAGAGAGGGGTTCGTTTCGGAGAATGGTTTGGGGATGTAGATTTCCTCTGTGAGTCGTGATTGCACGGACTCTGGGAATATACTCCATGTTTTGCGTCGGCGGGCGTCGAAGCCAAAGCCTTTGTAGCCTTCCATGAGGAGGACGTACACGAGGACGCCGTTGCCGCAGGCTACGTCGACGAAGCCGGGGAAGGTAGAGGAGGAGGTGGAGGTTTGCTCGTCTGCTGGGACAGCGCCGTACATGCTTCTCCAGAGTTCGATGAGGAATGCGGTGATTGAGAGGTCCTCGAAGACGTGCTTGGAGGGTTCGGTGCTCTCGACCCAGTTTTGAGACAGCTCGGCGGCGTATTTTGCTTTCAGCCGTGTGTAAGTGTTTTGCACCATGTGCTGCGGAATCACGTTGTCTTTGGCTGGGTTTTGGCTGCCGCCGCCGCCGGTGTCTGGTTTGCCGGTTAGACGGGTGCCGCGGGCGAGGCGGATTTGGATGGTAAGGAGGGCTTGTAGGGTGCGTTCTAGGCGGTTCTGGATGGGTTCGTTGGGGAAGAGGAGGAAGTGGATGGACATGGTGCCGGGGTTGGGGGAGGGGTCTGATGTGTTGGTGGTGGTGGTGGTGTTGTAGTCGTATAGGAAGGCTAGGGAACGGAGGAGAGGGTGGTAGAAGGGCATGTCTTCTTTGGAGGTGATGTGGGGGATGTAGACAGCGAGGTAACGGTTGATAGATCCCTCGTTGGTGTCTGTGGACTTGTTGATATGTTCGTAGAAGTGACATGTTTGGTCCATGACTCTGTCTAGGTTCGGGTTTCTGGGGATGAGTCTCCTCACTACCGTTCTGGTGAGAGTGAAATCGGGGATTTCTCTTGCGGTCATGGGTTCCACATGCTCCTCGGTGGTCTCCAGGTTGCTGTTGTCATTATGAGCGAAGGACTGCTCTTTCTGCTGTGGCGTTCGCAGCGAACCCCAGCTGTCGAAGAGGATGTCTGCCCGGTATAGATGGGTAGAGCTCATGTTGGGGTTGGCCAGGAGGAAGAGGGTCATATCTTGGATGACTTCTGGCTTAAATGTGAGGCCATATTCAGCCAGGTCTTGAGATGTGACCCATTCTTCGGTGCTGCTTGCCAGTACTGAAGAGGGCTCGAGAGTCTCAGCAAGTGGTTTGCCGGAGAGACGAGTCAAGTCTCGTGGATTCTTTCTTTTGTTTCCAGTCATTGTCTTGGAGTTGAGGGGTATATATGGCTATGAATGATGTGACCGGTTGTGTCGGAAATGATGCTCCTTGACACAGATGCAGATGACTGGCTCTATATCCACTCTAGTGGAAGTGTGTCTTCTTTACAAGAAATTCATATTCATCTTGAAGAATTCTGCCATTGGTCTCCGATTAGTCAGTGGATTCAATGCGGGGGAAATGGCAGAGACCTTGATTTATTCTACTGTGAAGTGCTCTTGTATAGGTGCTGATGCGTAAATTGCCTCTAGTACATGCAACTTCAGACACCAACAGATGCCCCTCAGTGGCATACTTTTTGATGTCGAATTCACCTCCATAGTGTGCACACATAATATGAGTCATCGAATACTATGCATCATGTGACAGTACTTTGTGCCCATGCCATCTACTATACGTATCTCCACGCAGCATTGCTTTTGAGATAGCTTAGATAGCTACTACCCTGTCGCCAAAGGGGACTGATCAAGGAAGACGACCCTGTCGCGCTAAAATAGAGGATTATCTTCAATTCTGGCCTATCTCCATCCTTTCATTGACGCCTCGCATGTTTAGGCAGATTATGCAGTAGGCAACAGAACCAATGAACTGACTATTGTACTATCAATGCAGCCTAATTATGAGAGCTGACCAACTCGGACTAATTCTACTAACTAGTTGAAAGGAGTTGCTAGTTAGTTGACATTTAGGGGCCCTTGCTGACTTGATGTTAGTGGACAGATAACGCACCGTTCCTCACGGGGATTGAGAGCTTTCCATCTACACCCGCTCATCTTTTGCTTTTTTTTATTCTCCGGTCGCCTTTTCTCTGGCTCCTCGTGTCTGCATGTACTATGTAGGTACGGCATGCATAGTTTCGCACCCGCCGATTGAGTTATTGATAAGTTAGACCTTGGGATGTCCTGCAGCGCCGAAAATCGTCGTATGGGCGGCCGAAGGAGGCCCGGAAGTGCAGGCATCGGTTTGCCTTTCACGTACATCCGCTGAGTCAGTGGGCAGCCGCTGTTTGCATCGAGGCTCCACTTTGCGCTTTTCTTACCATCCCGGCTTCCGCATATTATTTGTCCCTTAGACCTTCCTCGAATTGATTGCTTTTATTTGCTTTCTTCTTGATACGGAATCGATGGATGCAGGTTGCAGACGCCTTCGTTGCCCCCCATCCTCCCAATATACCTGGTCGCTTGCCTCGCCATGGGTCTGATTGACGTCCTGCCCGCTCTCAATGTCCGAATGTGAAGCTAGTTCGGACTTACGGAGATATACCACGCACTCCGTTAGGTGGGCCGAAACGGACCTACGATCCAGAAAGTTGCTACCATGTGTCTCCGTACTGTGCTTGCTAAGCAGCACATCAACCTTGCTTAGCATACCCCGTGTCGAAAATCCTGCTCCTCGAGTGGGTGAGCATCGTGCAGAGACCGACGATCATCACGGCCTTTGTGTCTTGCGGGGCCTCGACGGAGATTGACATGACCATGACGTTTACAAAGTATATGCTCGCACTAATTGACTAGACTTCAGGTAGTGGGCGCTGCCTATCAGGCTACAAAGTACTATTGCTATCTTACGATTGTCTTCGCCTATATTACTCCTTATGCACGAAGGCTCCGGATGACATGGTAAGATTTTCATCAATGCTTTTTACTTAGGGACATCCACAAATCTAGGTATGCCTTTGTCCCCTGGATGAACAGGCTCTCATCGAATCAAATCTGGGATGACCAATCCTGACACGGAAGTTCTTGAGACTGGTGGGTTCAAATACGCTAGATGTTTGATGTTACCTCGCACATGTTTCCCATGTTGCTCGTGTTCAAACCCGCAGAGAACGTGACACACCAGGGCTGATCGCCGCAAAAAGAAAGTTCCCAGAGATGAACAGGATAATAGCAGACCACTCGTGTCAACACGCACCACCGCACTAACCGCTTGCTACATTAGCTTGTTCTTAACGAACCATTGCTCTAGCCTCTACGCTCCGGAGGCAATGCGCGCAGTAGCGGCATAACGACTAATATAGCGGCCATTTTTAAAGGGGCCGACGGAGAAAGATGCTAGATCACTAGGCGACCAACCGTCAGAGACTAGACGTGCGCGACTCCGATATATTGTAGGCTATGACTGGCGTATTCTTGGCGATAACAAACTACACAAACTACAACAAGAACTGAGCAATTTGGATACTCGGACATCTTAGACCCTTGGAAGATTTAGCATGACTCCGCACAATAATGGGGCCATCCGGCGCCCACTTGACTGTACCGTGAACAGTACAGTAATGTTCGCGATGCGCCTGGCTGGATCTCCGCCACTGAGCCAAGATCACAGATGCAAGGTTGAATGAAACTGCCCCCGCGTACAGCCTCGGGAATGCCGAGTGGCTGTTTCCGGTCAAAATTTCAAGATGAGGGGGCTGTGGCTACTTATATGGTTACATCTGTTGTGGGTAGGCCCCATAGGTGTTTCTCCTCTTGATCCTTCTGATCTTGCATTGTGCGTCGAACTCTGGATGAAATCATCCATTGGGGCTAACATACGCAATGATGTACAGAGTCCTCGTCGGTTTGTCCTGGGTCAGAAGGACCACATGAAAGTACTACGGTGTGAATATTGCAGTAGTTGCAATTAATTAAAGACCTCTTTCTGTCTTACGGGCAACGCCGAAATATTTCAGACAGCCAAGGGGACTCGAATGAACATGGACAATGGCGGGGTAAGACTGCGCCGGTAAGACACTACTAAATCGAATCTGCTGGGATAGTGAGATGCTTGCAGCCAGCGGGTTCAGCGGGTGAGCACCCGCGCAACCGCCATACTTTCTGATCGATCTGGACGGGCAGTTGTGGTATGTACTACAAAGTCTGAGTCGAACATACTCAAGATCCTGCAGAAATCGCGACAAGAAGATTGCTGGTTGGCGGATTGCACGCATGGTCCAGCAACGGGCAGATCTAGGCCCCCGAAGATCAAATTCCTAATGAGTCGATGCCTCCTGCTGAATGCATACCAATCATCATCTGCCAAAACTCTAAGCTTAGCAGACTGAAGAAAATGTAATGTCTCAACCGTGAACAATCAAAGTTCTGAAGCAAAGCAATCAGATCCAGTAGTACTACTGGAAGGATGAATTGAAAATTCTATTCAAAACCCTCACGCCAGGAGGATTTCTCTTTACCCGCGCGAGCAGAAACCGAAAGTTAAACTGATGCGACCACCATTCATCGACGATTCCAGGGGAAAACAGAAAAGAAAGAAAAAAGAAAAATTGCCCTGTTTCGGTAAGATTTGATAAGTACCCGACCCACCAGACGGTACCATAGATAGTAACAGCAGCTAATAATTGAACAATGTGATTCGTCCTAGGTGTGTCCCAAGTGCCCCAGCTAGCAGAAGCTAGATGCCGGCTAGACTGGCTGGTGTGCTGCTCCACCGGCACTGTTTTGGACAATCCGGTGCATCACCCCTAGAAGGCCTGGACCGGAGGGATTTTCACAGTCTTAGCAAGGAATACAGTCAGTCAGTAGCCTGCATCCTCGGCACATCAAGAGATCAAAATCAGCTGCCCATATCTTTCTCTATCTCTTCCCATCAACTCCATCAGATTAACCCAACATTATCAACTCTAGTACCAAGTACTACTGATCCATAGCGAATTCCAATATAGCTAGCTATTAATTAGTATTTTATGTGTCTCATGTTGGGGTAAGAGAATCCACACCCATATCCACATCGAAAGAAAAAAAAAGAAAAATGTATACACACTCCCTATCCACCCTCAATAACCATTCATTCATAAGGTGTATCTAATTTGATGTGTGAGGAATTCCTCAGCCTCATCACATTGCCATTATGATTGTCTATAATATTATTTACTTATATCAATATTTGATCCTCTCAACATCCAATTAATATCAAACATCTAACAAGCCACACCAGGGGAACGGAGTCCAAGGTTTCAGGTTTTCTCTCAGGAGATTACACACAATAGACTAATACTCCGTAACTTAGTAACTCCTGGGATAATCTGGAACCCCCCAACCAAGCCGGGATATTCTGGAACTCACATAAGCATATCTGGAACTTTATTAGTAAGCCGAAGCTAAGCCGCTGGCTCGCCTCTCAGTAGTAGTAACGTACGTACCTTTCCTTCTTTCGTTTCTCCAGACCAGATTAATGACTGACATCAGTGTCTGTGTGGCGAGGTGTTCACCTCAACATTTGAGTTCAAACAACATGCAGCAATCGGAGAGAATTAACTACACATCTAAGTTTAGGATAGTATAAGTATAGTATACTCCCCCCCGTAAGCAGCATACTTAATTACTAAAATCTAATTCTAAGTAATTTTAAGTAATTGTTTTGTTAGTCAATAGTCACTTACTGTAAGCAAAGCACAAGGCAGCCAGCCAGCCCATACGTTGATTCAATTTCAATTCCAATTTCATTTCATGCATTCATGACATCTCCGCAAACAGGTACGACTGGTATGGGAGAGGGGTTAGGTTGTCGATCCCTACTTCGCATAAAAGGTGTGGCATGTCGGGTTGGACAGTCAACACTGCCCCCCTCCCTTCCCGAATTTGTTGTTTGTTCTTCCCAAGGCGGAATTTTTTTCCCCAGGTGACTTGACTGACTGATTGACTGAGACGGACGGGGGGGGGGGGCAACACTACTTACTACTGTAGACTAACTAATGCGAGAGAAGGGGACGCATTATGCATCTATTGCATGTTACTTACAGTACTCCGTACTTACAGTGAAGTAAGTGATCGATGGCTGGATTGCCGAGTTGGGGGGTGGTTGGGGGGTGAGCCTGTTAGTATCAATCTATAGATTATTGGGGGGAAAAAAGAAAATACAGTAGGTGATCTGGTTTTTGAGAAGGGATTGGTATAAAATAAAAGGAGGAGTAACAAATCTTGGCTTGGACATTATTCTGGGGTTCCTGGAGAAGGGTATCGCTGCTTGGTTGAGATCAAGCTTGAGTATTGGCTGACTGGTCATGGTTCATACCCATTCGTTCAAGAGGGGTTAGTTAGGGAGGAGGAAATCGCTTAGTAATTACAGCACACAAGTAGTTAACTGACATACAGACTTGCATACATACTCGGTATTTTTATCTCTGCGGCTGGTTGACTTGCCAATGATCACCAGATCTGTTCCAAGTAGTAGCAATCTATGGATTCAGGTTCTTCTTACTATTGGGGGGGTAGGGAAAGACATGGCGGATCCCCCAAGAACTTTTCGAACATGATGGAAAATTCTTTCAGACAACTCAAATGGAATAGACAATTGACCTAATCTTTTCCCCTGTTTGACCTTGTTTCTAGCTATTTACTCGAACCAGCTTAGTGCTGGAGCTGAGACTTGAAAGTAAGTCCCCATAGTAAGATAGAGACTAACTAAAGGAGGGAAAGAGAGGAGAAGAGAGGAGAGGAGAGGAGGAGAATAGAGGGTCTGCGACCAGGCTGCCGGAAGGTACCCGCTGATTCGTACGGTGGTGTGCGCTTCCAGCTCCATATCGGTTGCAGCAGCATCTTGAGGGCAGAACTGACCAATCTGTCCGAGGCCGATTGCAGCGGGCGAATCCCGGCCTGACCTCGACCACTAGACGAAGTGGGTTTTTCGGGTGGGTTTTGGTGACGGGAGGATGTGCAGCGGTGGCCGATTGGGTCTTGGCTGCATCATGGGTTGGCTCGACCAGAACCAAGTGGGTTGGTGCTGTCGTGTCTCATCACTCCCATCCACATAATCAGGATCTTTTTAGTTCGGTCGTTTGGTGGTCTATTGTTCTTTCGTCGTCATCATCGTCGTGGTCATGATCTATTCTTTTCTGGTCTGTGTGTGTGTCTGCTTGTAAGTTGTGTGCCGGTTAGACATAGACTAGGTTTAGAGTAGTGCTTGGTAGTGGCAGTGGCAGTGGCAGTGGCAGTGGTGGTAGTAGTGTGTGGGAGGCACTATTCCAAGCCAATGCAATTGTGTCTGTTATCGGCGAGTGAGTGGACTCTTGCTATCTATGGGCTTGTTTTTTTTTTTTTTTTTTTTTTT